CGCGTCAAAGTTCTACCAACTTGGACGTGTGCCGAGTGCCAATCGCTGCGAAACTACCCCCCGTGCGACCAGTGCGGTCGGCCACGGCCAAAAGCAAGTCGCTACCATGTTGACGTTTTAGCTCATTGGATCTGTGCAGAGTGCCGCGACAAGCACCAGCATGGCGTGCCAAGGAAACGGCGTCGAAAAGTGTAGACGCCTATGCCATGCAAGCAGCATGCGCTCATGCCCGGCAAAACCATAGTCCGCCCACTTAATAGAAATTCCATTGTCCACAACCTGATGCACAGAACCACCCTGGGCCGCACCATTTCATCCTCGCCAGCGCATCGCGCAGCCGCCAGAGCATCGCTCATGCCCGGCAAAACCATAGTCCGCCCACCTAATAGAAATTCCATGCTTAAAAACCTGATGCACAGAACCACCCTGGGCAGCGCCATTTCATCCTAGCCAGCGCATCGCGCAGCCGCTGCAGCCAAGTCCGCCAGAGCATCAGCACCATTTTATCTCCTACCCGAGGGCCAGAGCATCGCTCCTGCCCGGTAAAACCATAGTCCGCCCACCTAATAGAAATTCCATTGTCCAAAACCTGATGCACAGAACCACCCTGGGCAGCACCATTTCATCCGAGCCAGCGCATCGCGCAGCCCCTGCAGCCAAGTCCGCAAGAGCTTCACTCATGCCCGGCAAAACCTTAGTCCGCCCACCGAATAGAAATTCCATGATTAAAAACCTGGTGCACAGAACTACCGGGCAGCGCCATTTCACCCCCTATACGAGGGCCAACGCATCGCGCAGCCCCTGCAGCCAAGTCCGCAAGAGCATCACTCATGCCCGGCAAAAGCCTAATCCGCCCACGTCATAGAAATTCCAGAGTCAAAAGCCCAGAAATGCGTTGTACTATAGCAGGGTTTCAACTGTATGCTCCCGAACGGCCTCGGCCATGACTTCGTTTTCGTGGGCCTGTGGAGCCAAAGGTTCGGTTGGACCATCTGCCAGCACATGACTTTGTCAGGGTTGCATTGCAAACTCCGACGGAGAGGCGGTCGAAACAGAGCCAAAGAAGCGGTCGAACCTTCGACGCCGCGTGTGTCCAACCGCACAGATCCTTGGTTCGTTTGCGCCTTCGCTCTAGCCTCCGCCAGAGCATCGCTCACGCGGTCAACTTCATGACAACAACCAGGCCGTAGCAGAAAAAAAAGACCGGTCAGCGAGCGCTGCAAGAGCGGTGAGACTGTAAGGAACTGTGAAACTGTGAGCGATGCGTGCAGAGTGCAATGTCCGTGAATTCGTTCTCGCCAGGTGCGCACCGTCTACATCTTCAGTCGGTGGGGGGCCGAACAACCCCTCCCTGTGCAAGACGGGGACCGGGACTTCGGGCGTCCCGGTAGCATCCTTCTCGAGAAGGGTGCTGACCGTCCCGGGAGCATCCTTCTCGAGAAGGGGGCTGACCGCCCGGGCGTATACCTAGTATACGCCGAAGTCGGGAGAGCCGTCTTGCACATTTCCTGCCACCTCTCTCTCTCTCTCTCCTCTCTCCCTCCCCTCTCTCTGTCTCTGTCTCCGTCTCGGTCTCTGTCGGGATCTGTCTCTGTCTCTATCTCTATCTCTGTCTGTCTCTGTCTCTGTCTTCTCTGTCTCTGTCTCGGTCTTCTCTGTCTCGGTCTTCTCTGTCTCGGTCTTC